CCCCCCCCCCCCTTCATGATGGATGACTCCTAAGGCCACTTTTGGGAGAAAATACCTAGATACTGGCATTAGTGAGAAAACTTTTTGCCAACAATGTTGTTCCTTCTTGTATAATAAAAGCAAGGAAAAATACCTGTATTTTATGGCTTGGAGATTCAAAAATATGTTTGGCTGCAGTTTGATTGATTTGGCTTTTAAATTCAGTGAATCACCTTCAGAACACTGGAGCAGGTCTAACCTTCAGACTTAATAACCACCATAGTTACAGGTAGGCCTCCATCGCACGTTCTGCTAAAATGAAGACCAGTTCCCAATAATTAGCACTGCATGAAATTATCATTACAGGCTCACCCGAAATTAGGAGCACCGTGTGTCCAGAGTTCTTCTATTTTGGATCAGATATAAAACCTAAGTTTCTATTGAGGTTAATGAGCTAGAAGCATTTGTTTCCTTAAAACCTTAGAGTGTCCATTTTCTTACTATGTAGGTACATTCATTAGTAGCTTATGTCTATTGAATACAATCTATTTCTTCTGGTCAGAGACTTTGGCTGCATTATGATTTGGTTATGACATAACTCAGCTAAGGAGCATATTAACTAGTGTCCAGTGTAGCCTGTGAGGCTGAATTGGTGTTTTTAAGTTCTCTAAGTGTGTAGCTAGAAAGCAGTTATAGACATGCAAAGTATTTGGTGATCACTGGGATCATTGCTGACCTCTGTTCTCGCCCTGGGGTTTATGAGGACTCCAGTGTAACACTCTTCATGGGGACAGGCCCTAGACCTGGAGCTCTCTGAATCCTGGCCTGGCCTACTCTTCCCTGAGTCTAGGTCTCTGTTTTTAACCGCGTGGGGTGAGAAGGCCCCTTGTGTTTATGGGAGGCTGTGTAGGCTGAAGGCAGGGTGCTCTGCATGGAGCAACCCCTCACAGAAGAGCTCTTCAGGGCAGGGGGAGACTAACTACCCCCTTCACAGGGAACGGGGCCCGCCGCCCAGGCAGTGCACAGAGCAGGCTGGGAGCACCTCGGTCCTCACGCTGGGAACAGGACACCCCTTAGCTATGCTGGTGGGCTCCTTGTAGCACAGGAGCATGGGGAGAGAACCCGGCTCACTGCAGTCACTTACGCTTATTCTGCACAGCAACTACGATACGGCACATCAGTCAGTGTTTGGGCATTAAACAATGTACTCTGTGACCATAAGCCTGAAAGGGCCTTCCCGGAATATCCGATCTATTACCCTGCTTTTTGTAAAGATTTGTCTAAGCGGCTATTCTAAACACACGGTTACTCTCTCTATACGTATGATCGCCTGTGGGAAGCGTATTTTAAAAGCATCATTGGACACCCACTTTATTATCTGGTCATGGTAATAGGGCCCCAAACAAGAATACCAAACTCTTTCTTAGTGTATATGGTTTTACTTAAAGAAGCAGCCGTTTACGTTGTCACAAATGCCACAATGAAGACTATGCCACAGATGTATTAAATATCACAGAACTATGTAAGCCACATTTTTCATACAGTATAATCTAAATGTATCTGTAAAGCTCTAGCCCAAAGCAATGGCCCTACCCATTTTGCCAGTTTAGCACAAGCGATCGTTACCGGGACACTTGCTCTGTGTGTTTGCAGGCGCTGTTTAAAATGGCTGTTCGTGCTGGCTATAGTCATAGAACTTAGAAGCTGTGAACAAGCATCGCCGTTTCGTCCTACACGATACAGTCCACATATCTCCCTTTAGGAACTGTGACCGTAACAATGGGCGGTAGCTGTTGTTTCACCAGACTGATATCTATACAGTCTTCTCACCTGCAAACGACCACTCGCGTCATGCATTTTAGTGTGGCAGACCGAAAATAATTTTAATGGATGCCCCATTGAAATCAAGTGCTATTAAATTGGGGAAATGGCTTTAACCCACCCTAAAAGGGATCCTTTACATGTAATTTGGCACCTGTAGCTCCTGGTTTAGCGCTCTTTCAAGCAATAAATTGGAAGAGGTCACTTTATGACTAACCATCATTTGCAAATAAATCTGTTACCTAACAAAGTCAGCAACCCCCATAGGCACCCAAAACACAATGCACAGTATGTGCTTTGTGATCCTTCGTAGGTATTATCAGTCACAATTAAAAGAAGAATTCTCGATGCCTGGAGAGATGCTGTGTAGGGTGGTGTGGAGAAGAGCCCAAATGCATAAATTCTGCCTCTATGTTCATCAGTTCTCTTATGTTTTAAATTATATGAGGTTTCCTTTTGACACCTGATTATATGGCTGTCCAGTGAGGTATGGCCGACCGAGACAGACTCTGATGGCTGAGACTTGAGAGCAGGTTCACGAAGTCAGCACTTCAAACGTGAACTCTCACAGGCTCACACTTGTTCCTCTTGTCCTGTGATAATAGTGTCAAAGACGTAGAGTTTTACCATGAAAATGCAAAAGTGTGTGCCTCTCCAAGAAAACAGAGCAAAACAGAACAATAGCAGCCTAAACAAAAGCCCTCATTTATAAGTGCAGCAAGGTTTCCATTCTGCAAATTCCCCCAAAGAGTTCCAGTAATAAAGCAAAATTAAATTGATACATGCAAAAGGCAAAGCCACAGAGAATTTGGAAAACCACCAGGCTCTGTGTATTGTACAGACTCATATTGCTATTGATGAAATAATGTGTTTGAGGTTGTGGGGTATCAAGAGAGAGCACAAGATTATGACCGTCATTGAATACATTTCATGAAGGCTCCTTTGGTTCCTGACTCGCCGGGGGCAAGTGTTGTGGATCATCGGGGCAGAGAGTGAAACTTCTACATGTAGGTTCCTACCTTGTCATGCATTTTGAGCGCTACGTAGCCAGCCCATGCCTGGACCCTCTCTTACTCCATGCCATCACTGGAGACCGTGCACCCCCTTAAGCCTGGCCCCCTCAAACACCATCCTTTCTGTACATCTGAACCTAACGTGGCCACAGGAAGAGTTTCTGAGGCCTGTTTCAGGTGATAGGAAGATTGATACAACTTCAGGCCCAAGTAGTAATGCAGTTCTGAAGTGAACTACCCATCTCCAGTAAAGATGGGGCACTGCTGACATCTAAGCTTCTTTCTCTGCTTTTTCTTCAAAATACACTCTTGACTCCAAGCACTTGCCATAACTTCACTGAGTGTTCCTTGGGAACGAATCATATATGACTCTACATGGCTTTGGGTGGCACCAGATGCCTTTCAGCCAACAATACCTACACACTCAAGACCAACAACCAGGTCCCATATTATAACCTGGGTATTTCTATTATGAGATTACAGATCTTCAACTACAAAAGTGGCCATTTCAAAGGCTTTTATGAACATATCTTATTAGATACAGCCTGAAAACTATGATGCATGAGAGACTGAATTGCTAAAGTTTAGCATATTCCATTCTGAACGAGGATTCTTTATGAGTAACTCTGATATGAATATTCATTCACAGCCAGCTGATTTAACATACACTTATATTGTGTTAAAATGATTGAATGAATTTTATTGTTAAATGTGTAAGTTGACCCCAGCTATGGACTCAATTTCAGGATCCTCATGGTGGTGGCTGAAGAACAAACACTGATATTATATACAGATTAACATAAATCATGTCAGAATACACTGAGATAGTGTGCAAAATTCCTTCCTCACACTTGATTCAAACAATTGAAACCTAAGTATTATTGTCCTCCCACTTTTCTGTTTCCTTCCTTCCTTTGTCTCTTCTTTCCTTCCTTCTTCCTTTCATTAAAAGAAGTCATTGATATAGTATTTATAACAGACAGAACCACAGCCAATCTCATGTAAATGTGTGTGTGTGTGTGTGTGTGTGTTGAATGTAACTATTTCAATATTAAAAGAAGTGGCATTTTTGGAAGACTTGGTATGTAGAGAAGCAAAGTTTGTGTCTGTTTCTAATATGTTGTGAGCAGACCACACAGTTTCAGTCAAGTGTCTCAATGCCATCCCATCCTTATTAAGAAATGATGCTGTTCAGTGGTTCAACTCATGAACTTGGCAGCATCTGGCTGGCTTCAAAGGAATTACCTAGGAAGCTTTTAGGAATACAAATTACTGGGCTTTACCTTGAGAGATTTGGACTCCATACGTCTCAGGTGGGGCCTAGGAATCTGCAGTTAGAACACCCCTCTGTGCAATGCTAATCTGTGCAACGCAGATCTGGCGATCACTGACGAGTATTCAGATAATCCCAATTACTAGGACTAAATACAAATGGACTGAGGTAGTAGTCTATGATTTGTAGCTATTTTGAAAGCTAAAAACTCTGAGCTCCATACATTTTTTTCACAAGCTTTAATTTTAGCTGTGGTTTCAAATTTACGCTATGCTTCTGGAGTATTAGTCTTCAAACTTATTAGAGACAGAAATCACCACTGGTAAGCATGAGGGATGAATATTGCTCACTATAGGGCTATTAGGCACACTGGATACGGTACCATTTTCTTCACGACTGAACTGTGCACCGTATCACACTCTTTGCTGATCTTCACCACTGAGATATAAACGATGAACTTTTGGACGGAGGAGCAAGTGTCAAAGTGCCAGCCTTATTTCTGAAGGCTTTGATGTTTATG